TATATTAAGGTGGAAGGGTGACACCACTCTGCCCTATAGTCAGAATGCTATCTTGGTTCTGAATGAGAAAGTTTGCCAAGCATCAATGTAAAGAGAACTGGAATTAGGCATACCAAAGAGAAAAAAGTTCCAGTTCAAGCCCAAACTAAGCTTCAATGCCCAAGTAATAAAAACCTTGGCAAATTATTTACAGCTCTTCAACACTTTCAGTCACTGCTTACTGGGTACCACCACCTTGCGACCCCAGGAGAGATGGAAGCCTCACTGCATCTTTCCTTCCTCCCTCAGAGAAGGTACTAAGAGATGTCGCATACTTTCCTGGCTTTCATCTCCCCATCTCTCTGGTTGGCTCTTTTCATCTGTATTAAACACGAGAGCTTCTCAGAACACAGCTTCATGCCTTCTTTTCATTTGTTTTCTCCTTTAGCCAGTGCTTCTCCAACTCTGGGCACTTAATCATTTAGGGATCTTGCTAAAATGCAGATTGTAGTTTCTTAGCTCTAGGGTGGATTGAGAATTCTGCATTTCCAATAAGCTCCCAGGTGACTCCCATGTTGCTGTCCCCAGACCACAGTTTGAGGTGTTCTAAGTTTTCATTCCAAATCCTGAACCAGAAAAATCAATAAAGGCTGTAAGTTTTGTTTGTTTGAAGACAAGGTTTTGTCATGTTGCCCAGGCTGGAGGGCAGTGGCTATTCACAGGTACCATCATATCGTACTACAGTCTCTAATTCCTGGGCTCAAGTGATCCTCCCACTTCAGCCTTCCAAACAGCTGAGACTACAGGCATACTACTGTTATGACTCCTTTTTTAAAAAGCAAATAATGACTATTTTAAAAGTAAATTTCTATGTAAAAGATGGCTGTGAGCCCGCAATTGAGTTAATAAAAATAAATCAATCAGAAACACACTGATACAGATTGGGAAAGACTGACTCTGAGGGTATGATTCAACAGTTTTCTTAATGTAAGAAGTTACCAGATCTGGGCCGGGCACGGTGGCTCACGCCTGTAATCCTAGCACTTTGGGAGGCTGAGGTGGGTGGATCACCTGAGGTCAGGAGTTCAAGACCA